ACAAAAATGCGTCTTGCAAGATACCCAAATATCGAGTCTGTTGCTACTTCGAAATACCCCGACTCTATTTATGTCGCAATAAAAAGTGGAACATCCCCCGATATCAGTGGGTTCTACCGCCCCCTCACACAAATGGTATGTGGGAACAACACAGTATACCAAAAAACAAGTTCAGTGAATGGTAAGAGTTATTTTGTGTATCGCAACTCAACTGGATTTTGGCATGTGAGCACAAGAAATGACTGTGGCATGCCTGTTGTGTCTGACGGTCCTGCTTGGGCGTCGCGAAGAACCTCGATGCAAGGGGACTTAAGTGCAATTAGTGGGTCTGGTGCTACTGGTATAGTTACATTACCAGTGAATGGAACGATCTATCGAGGGTATATGTATACTGCTTACACCAATGACAAGTCCAAATTCTATTATGCGGATGATAGAGTATCAACTTGGGCTTCAAACAGTGAAGTGTATTTTAAAGGGTATTGGAACTCCCTTTATGGCGAATATTCAGTCAAAGGAAAAGTCGTGACAAGCGATCGAACAATTGTTTTTAACAAGACACTGGACAGCTTGAACACTGGAATGCCGTATTACGCATATAACCTTATTGAGGAATTGGATGAAGCTGGGGAATATTATATCGACAGAAGCGAAAATAAGTTATACATATACTTGCCGCCTAATAGTACTGATGTTTGGATAACACAGTCGACCGATCCAATCTTCAATATTGGAGGGATTAAAGGACTTACCATTGAAAACTTGATCATGTCCCATACACTAAATGACATAGTAGATATGAGTTCCGTGTCAAATGTAGTGCTCAGAAATAATGTCCTTCGCCACGCTGGATTAAAAGCGATATACAGCAATGGCCTTAATATCAAATTTGATAACAACGAGATGTATGACACGGGTGATACCATCATTTACATGTTATGTGGTGACTACAAAAAACTCGAGAATGGCGGGTGTGAAGTGACAAACAACGTCTTCTCGTTGTCGAGTCAAATCAAAAACACGGTGGCGATTCAATCGACTGGGATGAATGTGAAGATTTCACATAACAAGTTCTTCAATATTCCATATTCAGGCATTTACATGATTGGCGATGAGTATATGGTCTCATATAACGAACTTGAAAACTTCTGCTCAAGCTCAAATTACTGCAGTGGGATATTCTCAGGTGGCCATTGGGAATATAGAGGAATGATTATTAAATATAACTACTTGCACCACGCATTAGGATTTTCATATTCCAATTCGGGACTCAATGCAATCGGTCTGGACGACAACTTGTCTGGCGCTACGGTGTATGGAAATGCTATTGTAAGTGTGGCGAATAGAGGAATATCACATTCATCTGGAAGAGAGAACAATATCGCGAACAACTTTGTATATAACTGCACGAACGGATTCTACGGGGACGGGAAAGGACCGTCCGCATATAAAACTACTGGCTCATCGTACAATTTACTTGGCATTATGGACGAAGCGGGAATCGATCGATTCAGCTCGCCATGGAAAGATAAGTACCCAACACTCGCTTTGTTGCCTAAGACGAATTCCGAGTTGATGCAAAATACACACTGGCTGTTACCAGAAGAGAGCAACATTCAGTGTAACGTACTCTTCCAGAATAAGTTGGATGTCAACATACAAAACGACTGTAAACCAAGTTACAAGAAGTGGGAAAATAACATGGAAAATGCAACAGATTTAATGATGGAAATTTCAGCAGATGGCATCGTCACTTTTGGAAAAGACAGTGGAGTCTACAAGATGGAGTGTTGGAAAGACATCCCATTCGATTGTATTGGTGTCGGTAAACAAGACTGCGACGGCTCTTTCAAAATAAGTGTAGCTATAATCCTTGGCTTGCTGATGTTGTGCTTATAACTTTGTGATGACTTTTGGTTCTGTTGCAATGTTTAGCATATAAAGAGTCTGTTCTATTTTAAGAGCAGACTCTACTCTTAAAATAGCTTTATTAACTTTTACTAATAGTAAACTATAATTATTAGATTGAGTAATAGATTTATTAATATATTATAATAATATAGTAACTAAATAGTAAATTCATAATCAATTAGCAGTGTGCATTCCATATCTCTTCATACGACGGATACGGCCAGATCGAATTTGGCATCACACATTCAAACTTATCGACGTACTCCCGGACGTTTTCCATTTGTTCAAGAGCACGGTGGGCTTCTTTGAGACAAGATGAATCCTTGACACTCTCCTTTTCTTTCTTCAATTCCTCAATAGTGTTGAAGAGAGACTCCAGCCATGAAGTCATAGTTTGGACTCGACGGGATACTTGTGTGACTCCAAGTGTTTTTGCTTCTTGTGTTTCCTTCGCGACAAAAGTCAAGACAACGGGCAAGACTTCGCTTTCGACCATATCGATCATTTGGTTGACATCAATCAACACGGAACTCACAAACGCCTCCGCGAGAATAGTGACTCGCGCTTCAATTTCTTCTTTACTCAGCACATTTGTTGTCGAAAACATTTCTTCCGACTTCTTTAAAGCGTTAAGAGCTTCGTCCATCGTTTTAATTTCGCGAATGCCATGTTTCTCCATATGTTCTCGATACTTCACATTATAACAGTCTTCATTATAAACTACTTTTTGATGCTTCTGAAGAGTTTCTTTAATCACTAACTCAACCGACTCCGTCTCCGTTTTGCCGTTCTTCATGTATTTGTCCACCTCGTCGCACATCGCATTCAGTGCCTCAGCAACTGCGGTGTTCAACACAGTAATTGGCCAAGCCGCATTTTGTTCCGATCCAACGGCTCTGAACTCAAACCGGTTTCCAATGAACGCGAACGGCGATGTTCGATTTCTGTCGCTTTGGTCGCGCGTGATTTTCGGGAGCATCTGTAAGTGGAAATCTAATGTCATTTTCCCTCGTATTATTTCATTCTTCCCTTCAACCAACCCATCGATCAGTTCTTGTAACCCATCACCTAAAAAGACCGAAATAACAGCAGGAGGCGCTTCAAACCCACCCAGACGATGAACGTTCCCAGCAGTCATCACGGACGCCCGCAAGACATCTGCATGGTTGTCGACACCCATCAACACAGCAGCAACTAAGAAGTAAAATCTCCGGCGTGTTTCTTCTGTTTCTCCCAATACAAGAAGACACTCTGGACCACTGAATATCCCCCAATTCACATGCTTTCCAGACCCATTCACTTCCGAAAATGGTTTCTCGTGGAAGAGGACTTCAAGTTGATGTCTTTTAG